ATCAAAATCAAAATTATCAAAGAAATATATAGCTTTTAACAATCAGGATTATACTGTGTTAAACCAGTCAACACCCAAATATGATTGGTTTAACACAGTATAATCCTGATTGTTAAAAGCTATATATTTCTTTGATAATTTTGATTTTGATTATTACCCTGAAGAAGTCCAGGCAAGTTAGCTGGACGAAACGTTGGAATTAGTTAAATTTCAATCGCTGAGAATATTTCAAATATAATTTTCACATATAATGAATCTTGTGACCTGTTTCAATTATGTGTTTGGCAATAGAGGATGATGGATGTTTATCCTCTGCTCTTATTGGGTCACCTGATTGTATTTGTTTCTGTAGCCATTTCGGTACATGTTCACATCTTAATGTTGAGATCACGATTGCTCCTCCCTATGTATGTGTGACCACACACACATTTAAATCGGTAAACACAGTGGGATGTGACGCAATGGTTTCCATGTCTTCAAGGCTTTGAATGAAGTATGCACCTTGTTCTTTCTTTGATGATGACCTTTGCTAAGCAATACGTTTTATTGATGACTGATTTAAGTCATTGTTTCAATAAAAGGCTATCTGAATCACCTCTGAATGGTAAAGTGATGTAGACAGGCTTTTTCTCTACCGAGGCTACAGTAGGTCTCGCTGCACCATGGACTTTCCATCTATTTATGAATTTCAGAGGAAAGCCATTTTCTATTAACGTTTTATTTAACAACTTAACATCATCATCAATGGCGTCGTTTGTACAAATACGGTCGAGTCTGTTGAAAAGACATCTTATCAAACCACGTTTGTATTGCACAGGGCAATAACTATAATAACTCAGATATTGACCTGTCCACGTTGATTTTCGAAAAATGAATCGCTTGACTGAGCCATCTTCTCGTCTACTCAGAAGTATATCTAGGAAGGGAAGCTGGTCGTTCTTCTCCTCTTCACATGAGAGACTAATATGGTTTTGGAGAGTGTTAAGTTTATTTAATAAACAGTACATATCCTCTTTTCTCTCACAAACAACTACGATATTGTCCACATATCTCTTATAAAGTGAAATGTTTACGATTAAGTCATCAGTCTGATTTTCAACATGTACTGTAGTGACTTACATTTATCACGAGAACATGACTGGTTTAATAAAAACAATTATTTCACAGATTGAAATCATGAGTCAGTTGAAGCTAGACCACCATTGAAAACCTGGAAGCACTGGACGGCCGTTTCGTCCTAGTATGGGACTCCTCAGCAGTGCGCATCCACGATCCCGCCCGCGGCTCGAGCCCAGGACCTACTGGCTTCGCGCGCGAGCACTTAACCATTAGACCACTGAGCCGGCATCCAACGGTGTTAATGTCTAACTTCAACCAATCCACGAAGTTGCGCCACCATATACCATTGTCTTCAGTGAGCTGATATCCCACAACAGACCTGGTTGTACTCCACTGGTAACGGCTTCCCACTAGAACTCCAGGAGTATCTCTTGAAGTCAGTCACTAGTGAGCAGATGATTATTATCAGAAGGGGTTTGTGGAGATTTTGGAAATTTCACAGATTGAAATCATGAGTCAGTTGAAGCTAGACCACCATTGAAAACCTGGAAGCACTGGACGGCCGTTTCGTCCTAGTATGGGACTCCTCAGCAGTGCGCATCCACGATCCCGCACCACGCGGGGCTCGAACCCAGGACCTACTGGCTTCGCGCGCGAGCACTTAACCATTAGACCACTGTGCTCACTGAAGACAATGGTATATGGTGGCGCAACTTCGTGGATTGGTTGAAGTTAGACATTAACACCGTTGGATGCCGGCTCAGTGGTCTAATGGTTAAGTGCTCGCGCGCGAAGCCAGTAGGTCCTGGGTTCGAGCCCCGCGTGGTGCGGGATCGTGGATGCGCACTGCTGAGGAGTCCCATACTAGGACGAAACGGCCGTCCAGTGCTTCCAGGTTTTCAATGGTGGTCTAGCTTCAACTGACTCTTGATTTCAATCTGTTGATAAAAACAATTATTATTATAACCAACTGTACCAGTGTTTGTTTTAACGTGCTTTTGTTTGACTGTGCTAATGACAGCTATTTCGTGCCTCCATTCTTTTACTTACACTTTGATTGTAACTTCGCGCGAATTCGGTTACGTTCTGTAACCAAGCTTGTATCCTGGCACGATCTCGGTATCCTTTCGACACCACGAGATCGCCAGCTATTAAATCTCGATTTGGTCCATTAATTGCCTTCTGATATTTGGCTTCTCGGAGATTTTATGGGTTTCTTTGGTTACGTCCAACCCTCGCCTTCTGATTTATTTGGCACGTGTTTCTTGGTAGCGGTGTTCATAGTTAACCTCAACTCGACGCCACGCTACAGTACCATGAACACATCTGCTTATAATGATCCTAGTGGACTACCCATAGCAACTCCATCAATCTGACGAATGTAATCACCTTCAAAAGTGAACTGAACTTTGTTAGTACATAATAAGAGTAAATCTTCAGGAAGTTTTACAGGTACACGTGATTGAAAATTGTTTACAGATATGTAATCACATTATATATCAATGGTTTTTTCAAAGGTACATTTGTATGACCATTTGTGTGACCAGATTGCTCGAAATGTATTGCGCTAATATATCACATAGTTCTGATAATCTTCGTCTTCTTATTACATTATTGAGATCTAATTAAGTTTATCTTCAACACAAACTTGAGGGGTAACACACAGAAACTGGAGACACAACACATTAGGACGGATTGTAGGCATGCCTCCTACTCCTTAAGAGTTATCAAGTGTCAGAATTCGCTGCCGGCTGAGCTAGTTCAAGCTTCTTCTCAGGAGTCCTGACATATTCTTAAGGGCTAAGGATAGTTTCTTACTATTTAAGATGCCACAGGTATTCGGAGTTTGGCAACGCTTTAACTGGTAAAACCTTCTTTTATGAATCGTACCCACCAAGTGAAATCGAAAGACAGAAGCGAGGAGGCTCGATTATATATTTGATAGGCTATCAACGCATCGAGGATCGACTGATCTAATCTAGCTAGCGGTTGCAGGGGATGTTGAGCACGGCGTTCCCACTCGTGATCTTGTACGGATGCATGACCGAGCGCCTTCAGCTAGGTGAGAACAATAAAACTAACGTGGTCAGCACCCATTGTCGAAAACTTACAGAGCTATTTATTTTGTGATTTATTTAACGCTACACTATGATTTTCCCGTTTCTTTTTCCTCTATTATCGTTAATATACCTAGATTACTGCCTGGAGGTACTTGCGATCCACAGTTGTTACACACAGAAGCCCGTAAAGCATAAGCTTCTTCTATTCCGTCCACAATCATTTGAACCATCTGAACCATTTATCATTAGGTCGCTCAAGGTCGTGGAAAGCGAGTAACTTTAAAATCGGTATGGTTGTCTCGATTTTGGTATTGATTTTGTGCTGAGTGTTGTCTTTATCTTCCTTTGGTAAATGTAAGTACACTTCCTGCGCTTCATGTTTGGTCTTCTCGTCTTTTGAGTGTTTTTTCCAATCGTCATGCTGTTGTGCACGTTTCTATAGTACACAAAGTACCTTCTATCTAGACGCGAGCCGTTACGTGTAGTTTTTTGCTCCTTCATTTTCCGTAGTCCAACTAAATTTGGGGTTGTAATGAAATTTGACTGTAGCTAGGTGAGTTTTTAATTTGGTATAGTCTCGCTCCGCAATTAACTCGTCAGTGAAGCTAAAAGCTAATTAACTGAGTTTCCAGTGATATTTGGTTAATATGAAGTATACACTCAGAATTCCAGGAGATGTTGGTTGTTCCGGAATATCATGAGACGCCAAAGTCAGACTAGTGACGTGATTTGTCAGGGATTAAGATTGTACCATGATTCTAGTATTCTACAGTATAGTTCATCTCAGTTCGTTATGGAAACACTTAACCCTAACACCTATTCCCAATCCCATCCTAGCATTTGTATTAACGTTTCTTGTCTAACATTGGTCCTGTTGAAAACTTAAGTTTACCTGACAATCTATGAAATAGCCAACAGAATAATAATGAAATAACACTAGTTTCGGATTGGTTATGAGTGTAAATCTAAAATGTAGTAAATTGAATTATTGCCATTATTTTAAGATTCTAATTCATCTTTTTCTTTATCAAAGTATATCTCCCGTATGTAGTACATATTTTTCCTTCCATGGATACTACGACTCACTTGATTTTCATTTCGTTAATTCCCGTTTTTGGTGCTTATGTGAACATAGCGTTTTAGATCGACCAAGATTTTTGCTATGCCCGACGTTGATCGAATGTAGGTGTAAAAAATCTTTTATATCATACACATTTTGTGCCTTATATGCCCCCAAATACCCTGGTACGGCTGAGAGTGGGGAGAGTCCGCTCTCCCTCTCGAAATCCTCTCACATGGACACGCGTATATAGCCTCTGCCAGAGAAGTCCTACTCACTGTCTTCTCGTGGCGGGGGTGTTGTTTACGAAAATGAGAGGACGAAAAGAGAATGTCCGGCGCTTTAACCGGGCCGGTGGACACGGTAAGTTTATCTAGGGGAGTTGGAAAACCGTGATTCCAAACCAATGGTGTACATGGGCTCCAGTATCCTGAAGGAACAAATGGAGTATGAACCAACCGTTGGTCACCGGCTTCCATGGGACTGCATCTCCTTACGATGCTCCACTGCCTTGTGGATCAGACTTTCAGGTCGAAGGCTCCGGGTGTGGCCCCCTAAGAAAACTGTCTGCTTCGGTTTTGGCACCTAGGCAGTATCACAGCCTTCACACATATCAAATGAGATTTGTGTGGCTCATATGTATTTGGTGTCTCCTTGTACCAATATCTTTGTGTTAAAATAAATAAACAATAAAAACCTTATCTGATGTTCGCTAAGATTATTTCATTTCGTCTCTCTAAAGTAAGGAATTTATCCCTGAGTTACGTAATCTGATTTTTATGACATTTCCTATTTAAATTAGTTACTTAACATTTTAGACTATGCCGTATCTAATGGATGAAGAAGTTTCTAGCGATGAATCCGTAAGTTATCAAATCGTGTGTAACGATTTTAGATCGAATGTAAAGATGTGGAGATTGAGTATGTTTGATTAACTTTAATGACAATGGATAATCACTAGTTACGAAAATTTGTCCAAAAATACTACAGGACCATCGAGTTATGCATCTCTAGCTCAGAAAGATTCAGCAAAGTATGGTACTATTTTACTGCCATAGTGTTACGATTTCAGGAAACCGAAAAATCCAGGTGATTTACATACGAGTAAAGGAAAGGTGTTGAATTATCTCCGGATACCGAAAGCTGTTGATTTCATGTCTCCAGATCTAACTGAATATGTTACAGAAACCCAAAGGGCAGGCCTAATTGCACAACTTAAAGCTAATAAAGACTAATCCTACGAAATTTCTTAATTTTTTCTCACAACACATGCTTAGCCTAAACAATAGATGTCTTAAAGTATATGTTAAAAAATGGTACATGTTGAATATAAGTATGTTTGCTTTGCCGCGTTTTAACTGAACACATCCAAAATCCTGTAGATCTGTCAAATCATGCTTTTGTATGTTCACGAATATTCGATTAGATGATTCAGTATTAAACAATGATGTTTCCTGTTTTTTCACCACCTATGCGAATTATAAATTCTCGAATTTCTAGTTCTCGACTGGGTCCTTTTGGCACAAAAGTTTTCTTTAGAATTGGGAGGCTGATTTAGCCATGCGTTCAGCTTTTTTTGTCAAAATATAAGATATCAGGACATACCCTTTGCCAATTTATACCATACGGCCATTGCATTTCCTTGTCGTCTATATTCTAGTTGAATTATAAATAGCTATATAATACCGAACTCTTGTGACTTACAATTTACGGTTCAGAGACTTTGATGTAAAATATTGGTAGGTTTTTATCACACGGCAAAAAAACTGAAAGATCTCTTTACATCTATTCATATATATCCATCCACGATATAATGTTTCATATAATAAGTCACCGGTAAATGTCATATCAGATAAGTTAATGATATTATTTTGAAGTAACCATGGAAAACGTGATGATCATTAGAAGACATGAGGTTGAACGGTATGAAAGGTAGCCTATGCTCAGTGTGTTTCCAGCTAAAAATGCATAAAGTCACACACACTAGCAGATGGTAAGGTTCAAGGGTTAATTAGGATCAGTCATGAACTTAGCTTAATTTTATATCTCTTTTATGGAGTTCAGTTCATTTTCTAGTTTTCAAAGTGTGTAAAATGCAGCTTTGTTTAAACGTACCCAGTTTTTTACAGAGAAATTCGTACCTTACTTGTCGAAAACAAGTTTAGGAATTATCCTCTTTTGGCACGAACCTGGCAGTTAATTACACCCGGGCAGTATCACAATCCTCATTCAAATCAATGATAACTACGACTGGAAAATTTCTCTTACCCCCAAATGCCTTGGTACGGTCGAGGGTGGGGACAGTCTGTCTCCTTTGCGAAATGCTCTCACATGGCCACGTGCATACAACCACTGCCAGGGAAGTCCTACTCACTGTCTTTTCGCGGTGGGCTGTTGTTTACGAAATTGAGAGGACGAACAGCGAATGCCCGGAGCTTTAGCCACCGGCTACCATGGGACTGCATCTCCTGACGTTGCTCCACTGTCTTGTGGATCAGACCTTTAGGTCAAAGGCTCCAGGATGGACCCTAAGAAAGCCACTTGTTTCAGTTTGAGCGCACGGGCATTATCCCAGCCCTCACACAAATCAAATGACGACGTGTGGCACATATCTACATGGAGCTTCTTTGTACCAATGTTTATGTTTTCAAATAAGAAGAGAAAAATAAAATAACTCGCTTCAACTCTCATTCAGTCGTACTATCCGCATTAACAGTAGGTAGTGTGCTGTTAGATTAGAAAGTTCTATCAAAGTGCGAATAAATCGGTGTAAGAAATGGTGTCTTTTCGTCATCTCTGCCTATGCTCCGACAGATTGCATCCAGAATGCGATCGAGGATGATTTTTACCACCAATTAACTGTTCTTCTACAGGAAGTGCATTCGACAGATTTTAATACTAGCCGGAGGCTTAAAGTCTCAGGTCGGGCGTCTAGGAACAGAGGAAAGTCGTTTAGGTGACTGATGGGGACTTGTCGGTCCCAGGTTAGGTAATGGGGACCGTCTACTGCAACTGTGCACAGACTACAACCTGTTTCTGGCTAGCATAAGCGAGGACTTACGTAATGGAATTGGGAAAAGCTTGCGTGAGGACTAAGAAGGTTTGTAGTCGGAGCATGCCAATGGTTTGGATGCAGCGGCTTCATCTGTTAACTACTGGAGGCTCTTTCAACTTATCTGAGCCACTGGCAGCAAGAAGTCTCGTGTGAGTGGAACATTCTGTGAAGATGACGGGATGTCAATCGCTAACATCTATCGACGTCTTGGACTATCGGCAGAGTTTTTCGAGGAGCACTTCGACTGGTCTGCTGTCCCGGCAACATCCTCCGTCAAATGTTAGAACACCATTATACTTATTACGGGTCAACAATCGTAGTGTTTCTTGACATTAGGGCCGCCTTCGATCCGTTGAACAGGACTGTTCTTTGGGATTGTCTATTAAAAAATGACGTATTTGAGAAGTTTGTTAACATCTTGAAAGCCCTATATGCAAGCAACTCAGGTAGAGTGAGGGCATACAAACACCTCCATTGTTCCATTCAAACAGTGTGGTTAGACAGCGTTGCCCAATCTCACCATTCCTCTTCAACTTTGCTGTCGATGATGTCCTGAAAACAGCTCTGATGGATGTAATGTGGATCTGTTGCCGTGAGTATGCGGATGATATTGTCTTACTGTGCGATAATACCCAAGCCATGGAATCCGCACTTAATCAGTTGGTAATCAGTGTCCATAGGTACGGTATGTGCTTTGCACCTTCGAAGTGCAAAGTGCTTCTACAAGACTGGCAGGATTCTAATCCTGTACTCACCCTGGATGGTGAGCAGATAGAAGTAGTCGAGAAGTTCGTGTATCTAGGTAGCTACATAAGTGCTGGTATTGGCATGAGTGATGAGATCAATGCACGTATAGTTAAAGGTAGAGCGGTTTATGTCGATCTAGGCCATCTTTGGTGTTTTCTTGATGTCAGTATGGCTGTGAAAGGTCGGATCTACAACGCGTCGGTGAGAGCAGTTCTGCTCTATGCTTGTGAAACCTGGCGTTTCCGAGTTGAGGATGTTAGACGACTCTCTGTGTTTGATCATCATGTCTCCGAAGGATTGCTGACATCCAGTGGCAACACCATGTTATTAATGCAGAGGTTTGGCATCGTGTGTTCGGGCACAGAGACGATGGTGTCACCATCTTGAAACACCGACTTCGGTGGCTTGGACATGTTCTACGAATGTCGTCCCAGAAAATCCATGTTATGCATTATTTGCCGATGCTGGGACTGGTTGAAAAAAGCGGAGAGGTGGTCAGTGTATGACATGGTGTTGTGGTATAAAAGAAAGCTGCAGAGGGCTGGTTTCTGTTGGTCCTCCGGGGTTGGAGTTCTAGAGGTGGTGCAACACAGTGGCTTGAGGTGATATCAGATATGGCTCAGAATAGAAGCCGGTGATTATCTCGCTGTAACTTTTACTTTCTTTAATTGAAAGAATTCTTCCTGGTTATATTTTTGCTAGCTGAATTGTTTCTCCCATTATTATTATTATTGTTACTATTATTATTATTATTATTATTATTATTGTTTCACTTTCATACGCTAATTTTTTTCGTTGTTGTTTTTTATTATCATACGCACTTTACATTCCATTTCTTCCCAACTTCATTGTTATTGTGTGACGCATTTGTATTTGGTGCCATCTTGTACCAATGTTTGTGTTCAAATACATAAATACGAAATTGTGGTGAATGCTACACACAGGCTTGTTTGTGAATAATATGTAACGGGATGTGGCTTCGAAGTCGCAACAATTATAGGACAGAGTGAAGAGTTTCAGTACATCGAAAACGTGGCATTGGCAGAGCACTGGGAGCCTAAACGAGAAGAAAGTTACATAGTGGCTGGTACTATATCAAGTTATTTAGACTGTTCTAGCTTCTCGACAGACCAATTTATTCATTCATCTCAAGCCACATTTTGACTTTGTCAATTATTCGCTTATTAACCATGACTACTTATATGGTCGTATGTGTGCTAATTGCTTACCCTATTCATCACGTGTCTAAATTATTTTTGTCTGATAACATATATCGAATCACACTTCGTCAAAACGAGTTTACTCAATCGTCTTCTTCACTGTGCGTCATTTCGTTTCATTTCGCGTCCTTCTCTGTTCTCTTTGTTCGCTTCGTTTCTCTGATCGTCTGTCTGGATCAACGATTGTACGAAATATACGTATTCGAAATCCATTCTCGTGTTTGTTTTATTTAATTCCGTTATCCACTAACGCGATTTAGGTCGGTGATTATGTACAAAGGTAGCCGGGATGTATGTTTCGATAGCAATCATCATACGATATAACTGGAGTCAGATATCGGACCACTAACGTTCAAATGACAGAACACACCGAAAGATGTAAATGTATATGTATTATGTAAATACTTAGTAACTTCTCACAACAAATATACCTTCCTCCTGCCTATTGCTTTCTTGCATTTAGTGTCGCTGCCTACGGAAAGGTGAAGTAATTCTAATAATTTCAAATGAATGTTATTGCAATGTCTATTTTTTTCAAGTCTTTGACCGACTTCTTATCATGAAGCATTAATTCGGGCCTTTATTATTCCCAACACAATTGGCACACTCGTCATCACACCTGTGCTGTTTACTTATTATGTTTGTTTTTTTAGTGTTTCGTTCTTGTCACTGACTCATAAACTGCCTTGATCAGTTTAGTGTTTTCATATATTCCCATAAATCTTACTGTGTATCAAAGTACTGTAATTGAATACAATACCGTCTGCCTATATGTTGTAATTTATAATGTGCGAGTTTTTAATACTATCATCTTGTTATAAACTAATAATGATAAACAAATAAGAACGCTAACATTTTTGAATCTAAATACTTGGTCATTGAGTAGATCAGCTGTATTAAAACATTTACTAGGAATACCAGATCTGTTATACAATCGTATATAGAATCAAAATAATGATTTATTCTGTTTATTTAATTATGTCTGGAATACGAAAGATGCATTAAGAGATTTGACGTTATACCTAAAAAAATATGAAGTCAAATCTTCACGGGGATGAAATAATCGTTTGTTGTTCATTTCAAGGAAACGACAATTTTCTTCGTTATAGTAAGATAAAAAGTAGTAATAGTAGTTTCCATTCAGCTGATTCCTCTTTTTCTGCCTGTATAGTCATCATCTGTAATAATGGATATAAAACGATTTAGTTGCATT